CTATCATACCCCAGGTTGATGAGAAACCAACCAAAGAAACAAAGAAACAACTCCCACCACTTATACTGTTCTAAAATCCTAACATCCACAGCACGTAAGGAAAAAAGACCAACAACTCCCCCACTCAAGCTTTGATTTGATCAAGGTTGGTATCTATATCATGCACTAAATATGGCAATCCTCTGATACTTTGTTTACTCCATAGTGCTATTCTTACTTTTACCAATTCAGATAAATCATTCTCATCAACAATCTTCCTTGTAAAAAGGCACTTATTTCTTACTTTCCAAACTGACCACAGAACTGTTAAGGGTACTACTTTTACATTTTATGAATCACCTTTTTGAACTTGAAGCCTGCCTACCAATGCAATAGACTCTCAACTGAACCAGGAAAAACCCAAACCATATCCCACCACTGTAACATATCAGTCCACACCTTCCAAACCAGAGGACAGAACAGTAAAACATGACTTATTGTCTCCTCATCTGCTTTGCAAAATAAACACAATGAATCTGCTTCCGTATTTAACACACTAATCCTCGTCAAAAAAGTTATAGTTTTAAGTCTGTCTCTCCAAGCTAACCACCCATAGAATTTCACCTTGGATGGAACAATATTATTCCACAGCTCATCAGCTGCTTTAACAATGGGACCTTTCAAAGACTCCCACCAATTCCATGTTGCTGCTACTATGAAGGTGCCTGAGGGATTAGCCAACCATATGCATGAATCCTCAGACTCTATAGTAAGTGGAGGTGCTCCCCTTAGTACCTAATGCAGCCTTGTAACCTCCTCTTCCTCCCAAGCTAACAAAATTCTTCTAAAAGACGGATTCCACTCATGTACAGAGCTTCTCCTTTGATACATCTGCTTAATGTTGCAACCTTTGTCCTCAAACAAGCTATATAACCTGGGGAATTCCACCTTTAAGCACATATTGTTGATCTATTTATCCTCTAAAAACTGGATTCTTTCCCCATTTCCTAGAACTAATTTAAGATTTGATAAATAATACTGTACCAGCTCTGGTCTCTATGCAACAAGTTGAAGGACATCAACCCATATTCTGGATATTGATCTAGAATTCGGTAAACTAGGAACCTAGCTTCCACCAACCACACCATACTTACAACTCACTATTTGCTTCCATAGAACTTTGTTCTCAAACACAAAACTCCACCACCATTTGAATAATAGACAATCATTAACTTCTCTCAATTTTTTGACCCCCAAACCCCCTTGATTTCTGTTTAATGCTACCTCCTCCCATTTCACCATATGAACTTTCTTTTTAATATCAGAGTTACCCTAGAGAAATACTGCCTGAATCTTCTCAATCTGCTTAGCCACACCCTTAGGTATTCTAAACAATGACAAAAAATAGGATGGCAAGCTTGATAGAACTAACCTAATTAATGTTAATCTGCCAGCAAATGAAAAGAAATTCCTCTTCCATGCAGCCAACTTCAATCTCACTTTCTCAATAATTGGTTGCCATGTACTTTTTCTTCTTGGATTTGCCCCAAGAGGTAATCCCAGATAATTAATAGGAAGCTTTTGACTATGACAAATAAGAATTGAGGCAAAATGGTTAACCTCCTCATCACTCACACCAACTCCACACAAGACACTTTTGTGGAAGTTTATTTTTAATCTAGACATTACCTCAAAACATTTTAAAATTTTCATGATATTCATCATTTCCCCCTTCTCTGCCTTACAAAATTCTCTTGATATTCATCAATTCCCCTATCTCCATATGTGTATCCAAACGAATTTATTTATCTTTGATTTTTAAAATTATATTTTTTTAAACACTTAAATAATAATAAAATCATATCATGATGATTATCGGATCAAAATAATTTTTACATGAATGATCTCCATGCAAAAAACTAAAAATTGAATGGAGTTGATTATTAAAGGATAACCCATAATAGGCCCAATGGCCGAACTAAACACTCAAGAGAATTATTCTTTATAAAACAACTCTATGCAAATAGAAAGAAAAAAAAAAAAAAAAGAAAAAAAAAAAAAAAAAAAAAAAAAAAAAAAAAAAAAAAAAAAGGTACATAAGCCATGGGAGCATTATGAACCTATCACTTTAAAATAAAGAATTTACCAAATTAATAGCAATTGTATAAATATTATTGTCACATCATTTTTAGTAATAAATTCTACATAAAATTTCTCTGTAAGAAAATTTTATTTTTTTATTTTTTTTTCGCCCTTTCCTTTTTATAATCAGAATGAAATTTGTGACCAACCCACAAGTCAAGCTTGTTTGTGAATAGGAGAGAAGTATTATATATAGGAACAAGGGTGCGACTTCAATGCCTTAAAATACGGGTCAAACTAAAACTAATGGTTACATTGTCTTGCAATTAAAGCAATAGTGTGTGTATTTACTCTTACTTAACACTAATACCACTTTAATATAAATTGTTGCACCTCCAATGCTCCAAATATATCCTTTTTAGGTTTCCCTCCTTTTCTTCACCTACCTTGATTTGAACACCTCCCAAATCTATTTTTTTGTTTTTTTTTCTCTTTTATAATGTCTAATATTACTCTTCTTTTATTTTTGTTTTTTAAACTCAATCAAATGTTTCTTCATTCACCACTTGGCATTCACTGGTAAGTGGTGATTTCATGCTCTAAGTTTGACAAAGCTTAAAGAATATGAATCATCTGTCTCTCTCTTTATCTCATTTTTTTAATTTTATATTGTCATATTATCAAATTAAAAATTAAATAAATATAAAGCAAAAGATAATACATAGATTGAGACATACGATCATGCCAAGCTTTAATGTTCAAGGCTATATATTGCTGCTTGATTATCAACATCAAATTGATGCCATGAGATCATTTTTGCTCTCGATACATAAAGTAAGATCATTTTGATGATGTGGATTTGTTTATAATTTAAAATTATTTTAGAGATTAAATGTTAAACATTATTCTTTTCTTTTTTTTCACAATTTTATATCACTGTAAATAATAATAAACGATTTCTTAGTTGAAAAATAATTATTAAGAAAATATTATTTCATTATGTATCTCAATAATGTAAAACAATGAAACAAATATATAAAGGGGATGCACCAATAAATCCCAAACTAATAACTTATACACTGTTTAGTCCTAAAAGTTTTCTTATAGACTGAAAGGTCCCATTACAATGTTTCAAACATCAGATTAATGTTTCGAACATTAGATTTCGAACATCAGATTAATGTTTCAAATATTAGATTGATGTGCAAATGGGACTAAATGGAGCATAAGAAAACTTTTAAGACTAAATGGTTTAACTTTTCAGAAACTAGGACTTATGGGTAAATTTTCCAATATATAAAGCAAGTCTTCAAAATTGTGTCGAATTCTTAAATAAGAAATTAGTTAAGTTGACATCATGTTCTACCTATAAATATAAAAATATAAGGTTCTTATGAAACCATTATTCTCCAAAACTTCATTTTAATGATGTGTTGCAATTTTATGCATTGAAATGAAATTTTTTATTCTAAATGTGCAATAAAGAAAATTTAAATATTAAAAATTTAACAATTCCACACACCAAAAAACAAGTACTTTGAAATTAAAATATAAACCAGTGTGAACCTAACTTGGTTTATTTTAACTTGCAAAACTGATTTTTTCCCCCCTCATATTATTAGTATCTATTCTTTAAAAAAAATGATTGATTATTTATTTTTAGAGTCATCTAATTTTGAAAAACACAAAAAATAAATAAATAAATAAAACAATCAATCAAATTTGGAAAAAAAAAATAATATGACAAAGATAAATAAAATTGTTTCAAGAAATGTCTTATTTTCGTCAAATTTGACTCTTTTCCAAATTTTATTAAAATTTGTTTTGATTTTTAGGTTCCATTGTTCTATAAGAACCAAAAAAATAAAAATAAATATTAAATTTTTTTTTTTTTTTTTGAAAAAGATTCTTCTAATAAAACAAAAATTGTCCGAATAATAAAATAACTTGAATGAGGAAATGTAGTAGAGTCATCTTGGCGACTGTACGTGGGAAGCAAACCCAGTTGATGGTCGTGGGAAAAGTCAATAGCTCTGAACGGCTCACACGTGGCCATGCTTTGACAAAGCTGGCATTCTTCCTCTCTACTCTTCTCTCTCAAGAAAAACTTTTTTTTTTTATGGAAAAAAATTTTGATTGTGTTCTTCAATAATAATAATTTTTCATTAAGAAAAAAATTATCAGATATTATTTGCATAATATTATGTAATATTTTTTATAGAAAAATGCTATAAATTCCATCTTACAAATCCCGAATATACTCTGAATGAGAGTTGTGTGGTTGAGATTGAATTTGTGTAGTATGAGATCTATTTATAAAATAAATCTGAACCATATAAGATGACTATTCTAGGTAATTTCTAGATAGTTAATTCTGAATTTGTAGTATTACTGTTGTTTATATAGTATTTTCAAATGAAATTATAAAATTTTAAGTTAAGTGAATCAATGACTTTTTTTTATTAGTCAAAAAAAAAAACTTTATTAATGATAAAATATACAAAAATATATGTAAATATATTAATAAAAAGGGAAGGGTGCAAAAGTATCATAGGAAACCAATAAAATTCCAACTACATTGACACCTGGAGGATTACACAATGACACACGTTTGTTTCCCCTATCAAATAATGAACTTTTTTTAAAAAATTTATTTTGAACTATTTATTCTTTATAATTTATAAACTAAAGTTACATCAAAAACTTTAAAATAAAATTTTAAAATAATAAAAAGTTATTTGGTAACTCTATTAACTCCATCAAAGAACTACCATTATGAAATTATTGAATAATTACCCCCTCAATTAAAAGAGTTTTGTCTTTTACTTCCAGCCGTCCCCTCTAACTCAGTCCACTATGTTTTCTTCTAATTCTTGACCATTTATATCTATTTAAACCTCAAATTCAACATTCAAAATAATAATAATAATAATAAATAAAATCTCTGACCTACTTTCCCTGGTTTACCTTAGCTTTTAAGCACTCTTTTCTCTTCCTTCTCCTCCTTTCTTTCCTTCCCCTTCTCTCTCCATCTCTGCAACTCCATCAATCCATTCCAGAGAGCACAACCACAGTGGCATGCTTGAATGTCCAGAGAAAGGTAAAATACTATAGAAGAAGATTCAACAAAACTCTCTCCTTCTATACATATATATATATATATATATATCAAGAACAAGAAAAGAACCCTATTTTTATTTTTATTTTTGTAAAAAAGAATTGTCTTTGATGAGTTAAGTAGTTTTGTGTTGAACTAGTTGTTGTGGTGGGTGTTGTGTATAGGGAGAGACTTGATGAGATAGGAAAGAAGATAAAGAGAGAGATCGATGCATCTTGGCAAATGGGAAGGAGACATATAGTGGGAGGAGGAGGTGGAATGGGACAGGGCGGTTCGAGCTTGAATACTGTAACACCATGTGCAGCATGTAAGCTATTGAGAAGAAGGTGTGCCGAAGAATGCCCTTTCTCTCCCTATTTCTCTCCTCATGAACCTCAGAAATTTGCTGCTGTTCACAAAGTCTTCGGTGCAAGCAACGTCTCCAAGTTGCTCATGGTATCCAAAATTGCTTTGGTTTCTTTTTTTTGTTTTTATCGTTTTCATTTTGCATGTTTTTAGAAACAAAAACCAAGAGACACCAATTTTTATTTATTTATTTATTTTTATTTTTATTTTTTCTGTTTTTTTCATATCGTGTTTATTTTTGTGTAAAAATAATTTTTTTGAAAAAAAAAAATCTGTGTTTTCTAAAAAAGTGGGTTCTGTTTTCATAATTTTGTTTAAATTTTTTTTTCTGAAACATATCAGCTCCAAGTTTTCTATGTTTTCTAAAATTGAACTCAAAAACCAACAAAAGACCCAAAAAATAAAAAACCAAACAAATCCTAACTTTTTTTTTCTTTCAAAAATTCAAAAGCATTTTTTTTTTTTTTCCATATTTGTGTTTTCTAATTGTTTTCAAAAATAACTTTCAGAAATAGATCGCCAAACAAGTTTTCTATACTTTCTTTGAAAAAAAAAACACACACACACACAACCAAGCAAAGATCTCTCTAAAACACATAACAAAATAGTAATTCCATGATTCCATGTGCTAGTTTTTTCTTAATCATGTTTGGTGCAGTTTATAGGGTTGTTTATAACAAATTTTTTATTTTTTATTTTTTACATTTAGAGTATACCTTCTACTTACAATTTATAAGAAAAAACTAACTTAAATAATTTGAAAAAAAAAAACATAAAACAAAACAAAACAAAACAAAAGAAGAAAATAATTGATTATTAAAAAACTGATTATCAATTTTTAATTTACAAGATACTACATCTAACGGCCTTCTATCTTCTTGAAAAGATTAGTATTTAGCCTTCTATCTTCTTGGAAAGATTAGTATTTAGTATCTTCTGAAGTTCTGATCTTGTATTTCTCTCTACTTTGATGGAAAATTCAGGAAGTACCAGAGAGCCAAAGAGCTGATGCAGCGAATAGTTTAGTTTATGAGGCAAACGTGAGGCTCGCAGACCCGGTTTATGGATGTATGGGTGCGATTTCTGCTTTGCAACAACAAGTTCAATCCATACAAGCCGAACTCAATGCAGTTAGGGCAGAGATATTGAAATACAAGTATAGAGAGGCTGCTAATAATATCATGGCTTCTACTACTCATTCTGCCTCTTTATTAGTCTCTTCTGGGGCAGTGTCGGTGGCTGAAATGCCACCAGCTCAAACACATCCTCCTCCTCCACCACCACCGCCTCCACCGCCGCCTTCCGTTGTGGTTTCTCCTTCTTCTACTTCGTTGTATACATCGCCTGCTACGACAACCGCCGGTTATAATTCTATTCTGAGTGGTAGTGTTCCATATTTTGACTAATACTGTATCATGAGTTGTAGTTCATTTTCTTGTCAAAAATCATGTTTGATATAGTTGAAAGATCATAGTTTGTTTTTTCAAACAAATTGGTCTGATTTACTGTTCATGTTCTTGAAAGTACACCATTTTGAAGTTAGCACAAAAGAAAAGATAAGCGTGGGTTTTCTGATTAAAAAAAGAAAAGAAAAAAGAAAGAAGTCTAGGGACACAAAAACTGATCAGAACATCTCATACAATTCTATCATATGAAGTGGGTCTCTAATCTTTTTTGTAGATTTCACGCTCATGTTAGAAAGTTGTATTGATTTTGTGATTTGTTTTTGTATATATGTAGAAAAATCGTTTTTGGTAACTATTCTAATTATAAACCTCTAGATTTCAAGGTTTACTATTTGTCGGCGGCCAATGGATCATGACCTGAAAAATCTTCATTTTTTTTTTTTTTTGATAACTCGTTTTATTTGTTTCTTGATAATTCATCTCTTATGCTTCAATCTTCCAGCTCTTTTACTTTTAGAAGGCATTTGACTAAGAAATATCATTTTAAATAATGGTATTGGGACAATATGGTTATATATTAGCCGATATCGAATAGTATTATCTAATTAGTAGTGAATCCGAAACTAGTATGGAAAATTCAAAATCTCCATATGTACTCAACCCAAAGAATTTGGTCATGTCTCTATGTGTGGTAAACAAATGTCGCTATAGGGTTGGCATTTCAAGAATTTGGGAATATGTTTTTGACTGAAACCCTTGAAGTTCATGTGTGTAATGTACATGTGAGCCTGTGCTCCAAGATGCTCATTAAAAGAACTGAAGGAGACAAAAGGTGAGAAATTTTAGTGAGCATTTGGTCATTAATGGAAACTATAACATTAAGGGAGGATATTATATAGATGGGAAGCAAAGAAAATAATCGCAAATTAATAGAGTGTGAGTACAAAATTGTCATTTTTGCACAATTTTCTATTGCACTGAATACGTGTGCCACTTGTGCTTTATTGATTTGCAATTTTTTGTTTTATTCATTTAAAGAAAAATATTATGAAATCGGTGAAGTGTCTTATACTTTCCTCTTGTTTTCATATTCTTATGTGTAAAGAGCACTAGTTATCCTTCAACTCATACATTTGTAGAAAATTTGTTGTTGATTCGAATCTTCTTTTCAGTGGGAGTATGATATATCAAGCATTTCTGGACAAATTTGCAATCAAATGGTAGTACATCATTGTCAGTGTGATTGAATCACTTGGGTTTTATGTATCCACTAGTTTTCATCAATCTATTTACTTGAACATTTAGAAGCTAGTGCATGAATGTTACCCCTTTAAACTACCACCAAAAGAGGTATTTATGCTTGGATTTCTTGTCAGCTTCAAATGTTCCAAGTGGTATTTCAAGTTGTATTTTCTACGAAAACCAAGATTTTGAAAATTAGTTTTCAATTTTTGTTTTTCATATTTATTTTTTTGTCTTTAATGAATTTTTTTTCAAACATTGGTAATTTTTTTATCTTTTTAGATGCAGTTTATCTATATTCATCTAAAATGTAAAATATTTATGAAAAAAATATATGGAAACATTAAGTAAAGATATTAAAAAATACAAAAAATATGCCGGTTTTTGTTTTTGTTTTTGTGTTTATTTTTATTTTTATCTTCAATGAACTTTTTTCAGATTTCTTCTTGCAAGAACATAATTGGAATATATAGTCCATATAAAATCTTTTAAGTTTGTTCTCTCCATTGCTATGCATTTAATTCAACAAGTTCATTAGATGTGTGATGTTGCAGAACCACATAATTATTTCTGCAAGTGTCTTCATTCAGTTAAATGAGTTTATTATTTAAATTTTCTAATTTTTCCATATATAGAAATTGCACGAGGTAAATCTTTCTTACATGGATGGAGAAAGGAACTTCTTGAATTGAGCTAAAATTGTAGGAATAGAGCATAGTCAATGTAATGGTTGCTTAATTTATATTCATAATAATTTCTTTGTAATATTAAAATTAAAAAATAAATAAAAAAGATGCTGCAAGGTTCACCTCTTGGAGTTGGCCGGCAAATCTTGGGGCCAGGGCATGCTTCTTCCAAGTCTCAAATTTAATACCCACCAGCCGTAATAAGCTATTTGAAGCCATATCCATACAAGCCTTTTGCCCTTACTTAAAATGGGGCCTCTGCAAGTGGGCGGTGGGATTGACTCCCGGGATTAGTTGAAATGCATGTAAATTGGTATGGACACCAAGTTATTAAAAAAAAAAAAAAGTTTCACACCTTCAATTTGAAGGTGTTGCTGCAAGGTTTTTACATTCGAAATAGAATTTACTAAAATAATATAATATGCACAACTCAACTATTGTGACTAAGAAAATAAAGAAACATTATGTGCATGTTTATTTGGATGGACTGAATAAGAGAGATTGTAATTCATTAGACTGTTAATCTTGAGATACATAATCTTTGGACTATTTAATTGGAAATGATATCTATCTCATATTTGTTTAGTTGTAGGATTAAATGTCAAAAAATAACTATTTTTAAAATTATTTATTAGTTATTATTTTTTATTTTTTTATGGTACTAATTTTTTTATTTTAAAAAAAATAATAATAATTAGTTTCTAAAAGCTAAACCAAACACATCCTAAGTATTAGATGGCAAAATTGTCTTTTTACCAGCTAATCCATATGAGGGCTTGTCTAGGGATTGTGTATCTCACCCCTCTCCCCAGGATAGTCCCACATATGGGGGACTAATAGTTCGGTTAGGGGTGTAAATTTGGCCCGGCCTGACCCATGTTGGGCCACGCAGGCTCCTGCCAAAATTTGGGTTGGCCTGGCTCATGGGCTAAAAAATTAGGCCTAGGCCTAGGGTGTATTCAGGTCTTGGGTGAGCGGTGGGCTTAGGTTCGAGCTCGGGTTTGGGTAGGTCTAAATAAATTTTTTTGTTTTTAAAATTTTTTGAACCAAAATTTTATTATTTTTCACTAAAAAATACACTGGGTCTCGAGCTAGCCGGGCCTTGACTGGGCCTTAAGCAGGCCGATGGGCGGGGCCACGGGCCGGACTGGGTTTCAAAATGATGGCCTAAGACCAGGGTCTCAGGCTGGGCTCGGGCCCAAATGAGCCTGAACGGGCCGGTCCCATCCCAGGCCGCAGGCTATTTTTACACTCCTAAGTTCGGTCGTACTATTAGTCCAACTTATAATTTTTCAACCAAACAATAGACTAGTCGATATTGTGGACATAGAGTTCAATCCTTCTTTTCAATCTCTCTAAACAAACGTCCCTTAAGTCACCATTTTATATCACCTTTACATAAATACTCACAATTAGTTGATTTGTTTCTTAATAACATTTTTTTATCAACGAAAAATAAAATTTATTGATGACAAACGAAGTACAACATACAGAGTCAATCATCAATAAAAGAGGCGAGTGCATTGATCGAGTATCAAAACAAAACAGATCCATCCCAACCAGATTGGCATAGAAATACAAGCCCAATCATTTGCTAGCACAAATAACATAAATTGTTATATGTTTGTAATTGATTAGTTTAAGGCCTCTTTTTGCAACTCAAAAGAAAGCCACCTCTTTTTTTAAATTTTTTTATCTTTAGTGATTTTTTAAAAATTATGTCAAATTTTTTTTATTTTTCGGTCCTTCTTGTCGAGGCGTATCTAGAAAGTATATTTTTTTTTGAAAAATTTCAAAAAAAAAAAAAATTATAAGAACCAAAATAAGTCAAAAAATATTGCTTACTCTTTTTGTTTTTTGGAATTTTTTTAGAAGAATGCTCTCAAACGTCTAATATTGTATGAAGTGCACGTTTTGAGTATTCCTCAAAGACATATGTGCTTCAAGTCTGTTCTGTGCTGTGTGTGAATGCATATATGTGCTTCAAGTTATCTTGGCGTGTGGAGCTCATCTACATTAGAGGGTTGATCATAGACTTGCTAAGCTACGCTAGGCACTGAATCAAATATATTTATATAATACGATGACAAATAAATAATAATATAATATACATAAAAAATAAAAAATAAAAAATAAAAAATAAAAAAAAAATTAAAAAAAAAAAAAAATTGGTAACTGTATCTATTTTATTAGGTGTTTGGAATCTTCAATTTATTATTGTTATTATTTGAATGGGTTTTCATTTCTTAAATTACTCTTCTTTCGTTTTATAAAAACTCATTCACAATCTCATAACCAGCTATTTCGCAAAATAATAATTGTTAAAAACGGTTACTTGAAATTTAAATTTTTATTTTACCTACAAATTACACAAATGAATACTAATATATTTATTTTTGAATTACACCAATATTTTCATCATTAATTCCACTTTTAACTAATTTAATTTTAAAATTTAAAAATAAATAAACAACTTCTCATGTACAAACCAGTTACAACTAATTATTTTATCATTCTTCCAATTACTCAGACCTCGTTTGAGAACATACTTTTTTAGTAATTTTTTGACTTTTTAGCTAAAATATGAAGAATGAGGTTACTGTTGTGCCTCGATTGGAGGTTTATTATGGGCTTATTTTTATGATCCGAACCGTTAATTTTGTAGGGTTCGTTAAGTACTTCATGTCTACCAAAAATCATATTAATCGGATATCAATAACTATATGATCGAATTATATTTATCATAAAAAAATAAACAATAAGTTTTTCTTTTCAGAAATAGCATAAAAATGTGTAATTTGATCATATAGTTATTGATATCCGATTAATATGATTTTTTGTAGGAATGAAGTACTCTACGAACCCTACAAAATTAACGGTTCGGATCATAAAAATAAGCCCATAATAAACCTTCAATTGAGGCAAAATAGTATGATGTAAAAAAAACTAATATGTTTGGGATGATTTTTTAGTTTTTTATGAAAAGATGTGCAAAAAGTAAAGAGAAAATGAAATATTTAAATTTTTGGTATAAATTATTAGCTTTTTAACTAAAAAGTAATATTGTCAAACAAGGCCTCAGTGAATGACATTATGTGTAAGCTGCAGAAAGTTAAACATTGCATTAAGGGTTGATTTTGGTTGTTGCTAGGGT